AACTATGTGTCAAGGTGGCATTTGATTTAGCTGTGAATTACAGTTACTTGTATCAGGACTATAATACTTCAGCAGGTTATCAGTATTATTATGTGTCGAAAAAAAAGCTCAGTTTAGTTAAATTTCACTTTCTACTTTAACAATGTTTTCATTATGACTGACTTGTCAAGTCACAGGGTTATTAGTACTTTACAAGAGTCAGTGTACATTGTTAAGTTACTTATACTTTATGAAGTTCCGTGGACTATGTTGTTTATCAAAGATTATTATTTTGGTTTCAAAGTAACTTAAATTTAGGAGGGGCGGATGTTATATCTGTAATTGAAACGCAGTAGTTTTAAACAAGCTAGTGTATAATATTATGACAGGCCAACAGATGTCCGCTCTTGTAATGCGATTAGTTGCAGGTAAGCGCAATCACGTGCTGTTATGTAACATGCGACAGTCGGAATAAACAGCCGGTCAAGTGGCAGGCTCGTCTCCCTGCTCCCGCGTTTGTCGTTCCTCCCTGAGAACCCAACAGTTTCAAAGACAATTACAATGTGTTTGTAAAGTTTGCAGGAGACAATCTCGACATCATAGAAGAGACGCTTGATGGCAAAGGAACTTTCCAGGTTACTCAGATGGCAGTATTTCAACAGGGGCAAAAGGCCCTCATAGCTAGGAGCTAGGTAATGTCTTATGTTCCTGAAGGATTTCATCACCTAGCCACAGTAGAGGTTCCTCCTAATCACGTCCCACAAAGAATACCAGGCAGCGTTCAGGGTGACTTCTTCCTTGGCTCAGGACATGTAACTCAGCCATACAGACAAAATAATATTGCTTTCATCCTCAGCAGACATCAGCATCAAGGTCGATAGTCTGTTCCTGTTTGGACTGGGTTTAATCAGACAGTATCAAAGGTCAAGTCTACTCAAACTATCACTGGATATCTGCCTATTATCCCAGCACCTGCACATGAGATGGATACCATGATGACTGTACTGCAAGAAAACTTTATGAAACAAGTGCAGTAGTAACATTCGATCAGGCACTCTACGGAGGAGCAAAGGTCATTGTATGACTCTTGCCTGATAATTTTCTGATGAAGTTATGCAATCGGGTAGTTTCCACATAGCCATAAACTATCTTGGAACCGTTGGTCAACATTTTGCCGATTCGGGTCTGACACGTGTGGATCGATTCTGGCGTCTCAGTGAATGCACTGCAGAGAAGATGATGACGGGAAAGTATTGGAACAGAGCTTGGGTACAATATACCTGATCGTCATGCTGCAGCTTGAGCATACTACACCAGAGGTATACCATGAATTTAAAGCTGGTAGTAAAAGAAGCTGAAGGATCCTTTAATTGGGTATCAACTTACATGGCTCTAGAACAGGTAAATCGCATGTGCTCATCAGGTGGTGGCTTAGTAGAGATTACCCGAATAAAAACAGCACTCGACAGATGGATGTGGACATGCTATGATTGAACTCCTAGAAGATGTATGCTTGATGGCTGCACCACTTGCCAATCTCAAAAGGAAAAGTCACATGCCAGATTGAACAGGGATGAAGACGATTTTGAAAATATTATGGACACACTTCGTGCTGTCAACCCAGTTAATCGGGACAGAGGTGATCTGATCCAGATATCTACAAATGATGTGATCCCAAGAGATGTATCTCAGTCACTGTTAGTTGTTTGCTTTTGTTAGAGTTCATTGACAATCGATTGGCAGATAATGCTACCATAAGTATTCATGACACAATACAACAAAATATGCCCGATACATGTTCCACACTGTACAGCATGCAGGTATCAAAGGAGTCAACTCAATACCTTTGAGCAAGGAAGAATTTTTTTCAGAAGGTTGCTGAGTACCGCCCACAGTGGAAAAGAAGTAAACCTGACATATCTTCAAACACATGAGCTGTCCCAGACCCCACCTTCCCTGGCAACAATAGATGGCCACCTTCGTACAACAAAGCTGCATTATCACATTTGCATGCAGATTCTCATGCTGTTTAAAAGCTACCAGCAACTGATGACACAACATGCATTGTTGTTAATTGCATGACTCTTGTACAGGCTATTGGTAAACCAAGCAAAGCTAGGATATTTGGCTGATGTTTTCAACTGGAATGTGCTGAAGAACTTTAGTGAAACCTGTACTGGTGTCGATGTCGTCTTTGACCAATAGGTTGCAAAGTCAGTAAAATCTGCAACTCGAACAAAAAGGTCTGATCCATAAAAAAAAAATCAAAGAAAGAGACATTCTTCTGCCGGCTTCATGGTCCAGTTTTATTGTAATAAACGAGAACAAGCAAAATTTGATACAGTTTTCACCTCAGAATTGCTCACATAGGCACAGCATCTCCATCATAACCATCAGATTATCATTACGGGTGGATTAATCAACCAATCTACTGTCAACACATGAAGAGGCAGCACCACGAATGATGATCCATGTCATGGATGCCTCCTGCAATGGATATGACCGTATAGTCATTCACAGCCGAGACACTTAAGTGTTAGAACTGTTGATACATCACAAACATCGGTTTTCTGCTCAGATATGGATGAGTGCAGGTATTCATACCAGTTGTTGATGTACGCTCTCTCACTCCAGATGTTGTAGCAGATCTACCAGCATTCCATAAGGTCACAGGTTGTGACATAACAGCCAATTCAGTAGCCATGGCAAGAGGTCGACCGGACCTTTATTGCACAGCCAGATTTGTTGCAACCAACAGAAGAAAGAGGTGACATGTTCCACAGAGTTGGAGACCTAGAGAAACTCCCACCCACACAAGAAGCACTAGCACAACATCTACTCAGATGTCAGCACCAGTGTATCATATGGCGTTCTGCTCAGGACGGGGTCACAATACACCACCAGGAAAGTATGGGTGGAAGTCTACTGAATATGTCATGGAACCCATTCTAATGACCTAGGAACGAATGCCAGCACTGACATCATTTCACAGCCTTTGACTCTGAGATGTGATTTTTATAAGCTTCATAACCCTACAAGTATCTACGTGCTTTTTTCACTCAATTGATACCTGAGAAATGCTCGGACAAAAGAGCAGTATATTTACCATTTTGAGTGAAACTATGTCCATCTTAATTGAAATCTGACTTTCGGGGTGATTTGGTGCCACTTGACAAAGTAGCTTTCAATATATCATTTGTTTTATTGTTAGGGATCAATTTATCACAGGATTTTTCGATCTTGATTTTGAAAAGAGGTCGAAATGGCCACCATAGATTTTCATAGAAAAACTTGAAACATCATTTTCCTTTATGATTTTACTATTTTGTTATTTTAAGGCATTGTTGCAATTACCAACCTCATCCACTACATTAACATAATCAACCACCGTATCTCAATAATCAGTTTTCATCAAAATAGGTTTTTGGGTTGGTTGGTTGGTTTGTTGTTTAACGTCGGTATTGGTTGGTTGAATTGGTTGGTTTGTTGTTAAACGCCGCACTCAGCAATATTCCAGCTATATGACGGCGGTCTGTAAATATTCGAGTCTGGGCCAGACAATCAAGTGATTGATATCATGAAAATGAGGTAAAAACTTTATTTTTATCAAAGTTTTCACTGAGATTTTGAATAACAGTTAAACAAAATGTTTGCCAAATTCAGATAACCGAACATATTAATTGTAATCAGACAGAATTTGGACAGGTAATGAGAGTCAAGTTTGTCAATTATGCATTTTTCCTTCAATTTATGCAATTTTGACGCCCTGAAAATTCACGCAAACACTGGCAAGCTTACTACTCATAGAATTTGTGTACACATACCCACTATATGCAACAGAAAAGGTTTAAGGTATACAGGAAAATGTGAAAACGACAATCTTGTTTTTCAGGCCTGGCCAACGGGCTATGTTTCCCGGTAATGATAGCTACATATCTCACATGATGGTGTAATGCAGCCTATCCATGTTTAACACATGTACATCAAACATGAAAGATGGACACATTTTTTGGCATGTACTCTGATTAATGTATCATAATGACATAACTATTAACATTTTAACATAAATAAGGAAGCAGACAAGGGCTCGCACTGTAACTGTACAGTCTTCATCGGACGCTGACGAGCCGGGCGATTAATATTCTTATTATTAATAATTCTTGACATATTCAAGATGGGGGTGGGTGTGTGTGTGTGTGTGTGTGTGTGTGTGTGTGTGTGTGTGTTAAAGTATGGAGATGAAGGCTAATGTTAGTTCAGACACTAAAGATGCCATTTCCCAATATCAGTCCGCCCAATGGAGAGAAAGTATTTCAAGGGAAAGAGAAAATGTCTAACTTGCATCCGTGTGTTTCACCAAGCTCCTGAAACCAGTGTTATGTTTTAGGAGAAATGACCTCTGAGGCTGATATCTGACCTGATATTGGTAGCACTGGGCATCCACCTGTTTCAAATGCTAGGAATTTCTGGTATATGAACAAACAAAATTCTAATGTGTGAGAGGGATAGTGATAAGGCTGTTTTCTTGTTCAGTTTCCATCCGAAAGAAATAACCAATAGAAATATGGGCTCGAGTTAGTTTAGGAACTCTCAGAGTGCTGGCGATTAAGTGCCTCACTCTGTCAGTATGGGTTCGAATCACGGATGGGATTCAACCCCCAAAAGTACTCGAATTTTTACTTTACCAAGAAAGTGTTATACTAAATATAACATTTGGAACACTTATCTTTGTTTCAATACTTTGTATTAACATTTATATTTCATATATTTTTAGATATTTTTACTTACGTGAACAGTATCTACTTAGGTACAAAAGACAAATGAATAAACAACTGACTTTTTTCAAACCTTCAAAAACAAAGATTGTGAATACAAAGGTTAATCGCAGAAAATTCCCATGGAAATTAAGTGAAACAGGAAAAAGTGATTCTAAGGTTTGACATTACCTGAACCTATAGAAACCTAAAAAAGTACAGATGATGTAAACGCTGACAGAAATGGATGGATTGAAACGTACTTACGTTCTATACCCTGCGCACTTGCAGCTGTAAAGACAAAGACAATTAATCCATTTGTTTTCAATTATATAAAGTTGTATGTTTTAACAAATCTCGCACATGGTCATTTTTTTTAGAGGATCAGATAACAAGCTAGCCATATAATGGCTTTGCCTGCCAATACGGGGAAGTCTAGTGTACAGTTCGTTAAGAATGTTTACTTTATAAAAACAGATTTTCGTGATGAATTATTTAAATGGATCATCCAGCATCAAGTACCATTTTATGCCAACCTTATTAAGGCTCAAAGTCACAAAGCTTGTAATTGATCATGTTGATGTCAGAATTTATATTTTTCATTGGATCAACACCAGATGTTGCACCACTTCCTGTTCTTCATTGCAGTTCAAAAGTTGAGTGGTTTGGTGATTAGATTTATGATGTCATCCAAAGTCTGCTATGATACTAAAGGTTGCAATACTTCCAAACTTTCAATAAGTGCGAAAATCTCTCTTGGAGGCTCTTACATGGGATGGCATAGCCTTAGTTTTCAGGAAGTCATAAAATTCGTCAGCAATATTTTAGCCATATGTTAATGAGAAAAAGTTTATCTTTTTTAAAAACCTGCCAAACAAGAGTCATCAGGAGATTATTTGATGTCAATCACTGGGTTGTCTGGTCCAGACACGATTTTTTACAGACCGCCGTCATATAGCTGGAATATTGCTGAGCGCGGCGTTAAACAACAAACAAATCAAGAAATTCAGTGTCATGAAAGTGAAAAAAGTACATGAAACAAAGGGACGTGAGGTGATACTGAAGGCAGAGAGAAACCTTTTTGCATAAATGATCCTGATTGTTCTGCTAACCTATTATGACACCGTATACGGCAACTAAAGACAACTTTACACTTGTATAAGGGTCACGCTATTTTTCAGGGCATTATGATTTGCAGAAGCCCGAGGTCTTCCATTAACTGCCCGACGAAGGACCGAGCCCTCCGTTGTGGGCTTTTTCTCTCTATTGTGTTTATCAATAAAGTCACGAACGTTGTTCCTTTAAAAAATAATGTTTTTGAAGATCACAGTTCATGATATTAAAACACACAACAGTGTCGATTAACGAATTTCTGTACCAGAATTGTCATGTGAAATATGTGAGGTGGATGTCGGAAAATCAAAAATGGCTGTTACTGACGGTATGCGGTCTCATTTGGGGTTAGTAGTTCTGCTCTCTGATTGGTCAATCTCACTTTGAAGCATAATGATTAGTTAGGCATAGTCATCAATGCAATCAAACTTTACAAAGTCACAATTCTCTTCAGTATCACAATCGGATACAATGTCTACAGTTGAAACAGACTGCGTAGGTACATTGTCATTTCTTTCGTGATGTTTTTTAGTCATATTGAACTGGAAAAAAATGTCTTATAACGACGGCCTGGTGTTTGTACAATAACGTTTGTACCTTGATACCTAGCACGTAATGGTTGACCAGGGATTGGTTATAACACTAAATAGAGAACTGAAATTTCTCTCTTGAGACTTAAGTCATGATGTACTTTCATTTTGTCCAGGTATTCCTTCAAGACATCTCAAGCAACTTCACAATATTTAGGAATCCATGCCCGAAATGATGAAACATACTCCAGCAAACTGATTTCAGGCCTACCATGAAGCCAATTCTCCTTTAATTGCTTTAACCCTCTTGGTGCCACGGGACCATATATGGTCCCTCACTTTTCACGCCCGCATAATGCCAAGGGACCATATATGGTCCCGAGAAAATGCCCTTTTTAAACCGTGAATTTAGATATCAAACACTGAGTGCACAAAGTCAAAATTATAACCATCATCACCCCAATCATCTTAGCTTTAACATCGTGCAACTCATACGGTATCCAATGCGACGGATTACGAAATATAGAGAGATTAGTAAAGTGGCTACCGCGCTTCTCGGCCTTTCTCTGCCATGTTTGAACACCAAGCGAATGACTGCGAATTTTTATATGCACCCATGTCACATACACGTAAATATTTTCAAATAAAATCCTTGTTCATAAGAAATAATATGACCAGAGTGGTCAGAAAGACATGTTTCTCACAACTGTATACTTATTCACGTAAATATACTACACCAAAATATTATGGGAACACCAAAATAGTCTGTTATAAAAAGGAACATTTAATGATATGTGATCGTATCATTACAATTGTGCATTAGCAGATTATCAAGCTTCAAAACAATAACATTTACAGGTAGGTGTCATTGAAAAGCACACACGAACAAGTCGAATATGAAATTGGTGGTCAAAATGGAAATCACAATGTCAACAGCTAATGTGTCCTCCACGTTGATTGATGCATTCGGTGCATCTTCGCCTCATGGATCTTGCAAGGGTACGAAGGGTAACCTGTGGAATCGCCTGCCATTCCATTTGGAGCCACTGAACCTGAAGAGCTGGTGCAACTCCATGATTGTCCCTGACACGTCGTTCCAGAACATCCCAAAGATGCTCAATTGGAGCCATCTGGTGAATATGCTGGTCACTTCATCACAGTCACATTGTTCTCTTGCAGGAAGTCTCTAACGACTCTAGCCCGATGTGGTCTGGCATTGTCATCTTGCAGGATTGCCCCTGGACCAATGTTGTTCAACTGTGGTAGGACAAGAGGGCGCAAAATCTCGTCACGATACCTCACTCCATTCACATTGCCTTGAACAAGATAGAGAGGTGTTCGGTGATGCAAACTGAAGCCTCCCCATACCATCACAGAGCCACCTGTTTCTTTCTCGTACAGTGGCATCATCATAACGTTCTCCAGGACGTCTCATAACCCTTACCCTTCCAGCATTATGCTCAAGACAGAAACGGGACTCGTCAATGAAGAGAACTCTGGACCATTGTTGATTATCCCATCTCAAATGTGCCCTGGCCCAGGCAAGTCTTGCAGCTCGGTGATGAGGACGAAGATGAGGACGTACAGCTGGACGACGTGACCTTAAATGAGCAGCTCTGAGGCGGTTCCTGATGGTCGATACGCTTACGTTGGTGTGTGTTGTTTGTCAGAGTTGCAGTCTCAAAGCACTGGCTTCTTCATCTGCCCTAGATGTTACTCTGGGTCTACCAGAACGCGGTCTGTCCTGCACTCTCCCTGTTGTCTGGAACCGTTTCCTCAGTCTGTGAATGACAGACGGTGACACTTGAAGACGACGTCAACATACCTTATGGATGCACCATCCTGTAGCCACGCTGTGGCCCTACTCCTGTCGTGAATGCTTAACGGTCTTCGCTGGGGCATGTTTAAGGAAATGTGTAACTTCACAGTGTCTGAAGCTTCTTTATAAAGAAAAGTTGCCACCAACTGCATGGGAATTCTGACTTTCACATGCACTAGGTTGTTGTGTTTTGGTGTTTGAATCTGACATGGCGAGGGAGTCTTTCTGCACCCAAGTCTTTTCCTGTTTTAGCATTTAATCAATTTGTTGCACAAAAAGTTGCATTTACTGAAGTTCATAAATGACCAAGCCACGTTAGGTTTTATACATGGCTATACAATTTAGGGGTGTTCCCATAATTATTGTGTGTAGTATAAATTTCTGTTCATTCCTTTACGAACAAGTTTATTTACACGTTTTGTATATATTTATCGACTATCGGTAATGGCGGACTGGTCGGTACACATGAGAAAACGACAGTGTATATTTCCATTACATTTATGACGTTCATTGAATGAAATTATAACCATCATTACTCTAATCATCTCAGCGTTAATATCGTGTAACACTTGTTTTATGCAGAGCTACGGATTGCGAAATATGGCGAGATTAGTAAAGTGGTAACCGCGCTTCTCGATCTTTTTCTGCCATGTTGAACTTCATGCGAATGAAGGCAATTTTTTATTATGCACCCATGTCACATACACATTACTATTATTATATCAGACAGACAATTTGAAAAAGAAATCTGATCGGACTGGTCAGAAAGATTTACTTATGCCAATAACTGTACAGTGGGGACAAGAGTACTAACGTTTAGTCGGCCACGGAAGTTTTTTGTTCAAGTATTGCATATGCTTATCGACTGTGTGTCATGGCGATTTAGCACGGCGCTAGAGACGAAACGACAGTGCAGATTGTCTTTTTGTTTATGATGCTGATTTACAGACAATATTCAAATCAAAGATATGGAAGATAGCTATAATCGTTTCACATTTTGTCGCAAATGAAGATTTCAAAAGTGTGGCCACGACATCTAACGTGAGTCGACGCCATATTGTAAACAAATTGTGTCAAGGTCGGTTCCACATATGTGGTATCTCGGCCCCCGTTTCTGTCGATGGTACACGCGATACAAACATAATGCAACTACTAAAAACATCAACATAACTTCTACAATGATGACAGCAATACCTTTTTTGTATTTGGGTTAACCGCTTATGGATACGCTGTGCTGTTAACTTCGATTTCGATTTGTTTTTCCTTTCATTTAAACTGTGATAATGGCGCTGTGGTTGGTTTGCTGAAATATACTGAGTCAAATTAAAAACTTCACATTTTTAAAAGTAATCCCATATATGATATACAACGGAAAAATGTATCAGAGAAGGTAATTTTTAATCATTAGTGTCCAAAGAAGGATTTTAATTAACGGTGGTAACCATAATTTGTTCCAAGTACCTACGGTATTCGGTAATAACATCAACAGTTTAAATCATAAGTCCCAAGCACGAGAATCTGATGGCATACAAGTTCAGTAGCGTGTAAGGCCACCATGTGCGTTGACAACTGCCACACAACGCCTCCGCATGGACCTTGTGATGCTTGTGAACACATGATTGGGAAGACGACGCCATTGTTGCTGCAAAATGGTGCCAAGATCTTGCAAATTCTGTGATTGGTTCTGGAGAGTGCGCAGACTTCTGCCAAGAGCATCTCAGACGGGAGACCTTGACGGCCAGTCCATGACGTTGACTCCCGCATTCTGAAGGAAATTCCATGTCAAAATTGCTGTGTGGGGTCTGGCATTGTCGTGTTGGAAGATCAAA